ATGGTATTCTTGGATATATTTGATGAGATCACGTGATGAGGTACCTATTTTGGTGCAACAGTTCTACCAGATGGTTCTCACACAATTTGGAGTGAGGACTAGGGTTTTTAGATCAAACAATGCTAGAGAATACTTTGAAAAGGATTTGGCCACATATTTTTTGGAGCATGGGGTGATTCATTAGAGTAGTTGTGCATATACATCGCAGCAAAATGGGGTAGCAAAGAGGAAAAATAGACACATTGTGGAGGTGGCAAGAAGTCTTATGGTGTGTGCTTCAGTTCCTATTCGATTTTGGGGGGATGCAATTCTCACGGTCATGTATCTGGTTAACCATGTACCTTCATGCATTCTGGGGTTTAAGGTGCCATTTAGTCTTCTTTTTCTAGATGGGGAGATATTTCATATACCTTCGAGAGTTTTTAGGTGTGTTTGCTTTGTTCACATTCTTGGTCCTCATCGTAGGAAGTTGGATCCTAAGGCCAAGAAATGCGTTTTCCTTGGGTATACTCAAAACCAAAAGGGTATTGTTGTTGTGATCTAGTGTCAAGGAACATGTTTGTCACTATGGATGTTACCTTCTTTGAGTCTACATTCTTTTTCTCTAGTTGTTCTCCTCAGGGGGAGTGTTTTGGGGAGGAGAACTCACAATCCATTCCTCTTCTTGTTTCATTTGTTTCTCTTCCTTCATCTGGTCCATCAGTTCCACCTGTTGTTTCGCCATCAGCAACTCCAGTTCCATTGCCTGATCCACTATGGCCAGCCTCACAGTTTTTTCAACGCCAACACAAGAAGAGGGTTGACTCCACGCATGCTCCAATAGAAGAACTTGCACCACTCTTCGTTAGTCCATTTGAGATTCTAGGTTCAGTTGATACAGTTCCAGGTATTTTCCTTGAGCCTGTGCCTATTATTTCCCCTGATCCCATTGATGATGTTTCTGTACCTGACACTAATGTTGCAGCTGATCCCATTGCAATCCGTAAGGGAAAGAGAAAGTGTACGGCCCATTGCATTTCACACCATCTTTCCTCCAGTACCCTATCACCTTCCTACCATGCCTTCCTTTTTTCCTTTGATTCTGTGTTTATACCTAGGAATGTTAGTGAGTCTCTTTCCAAACATGAGTGGAGAATAGCTATGCAAGAAGAAATGGTGGCTTTGGTTAAGAACCATACATGGGAGATAGTTGATCTTCCTATAGACAAAGAGACAATAAGATGTAGATGGGTGTTCACTGTGAAATACAAGGATTGATGGTAGTATAGAGAGGTAAAGGCAAGGTTGGTTGCAAATGGGTATACATAGACCTATGGTATTGATTACCTGGAGACCATTACACCAGTAGCTAAGATGAATTCAATTCGAATTCTCTTGTCTCTAGCAGCTACTCATTCATGGCCCCTCTTCCAACTTGATGTTGAAAATGCATTCCTTAATACTGATTTGTAGGAGGAGGTATATATGGACATTCCACCTGGTTTTTATGAAAATGTTGGTGAGGGGAAAGTTTGTAGGTTGAAGAAATCATTATATGGTTTGAAACAGTCACCTAGGGCATGGTTTAACAGGTTTAGAGGGGAACTTATCCAGTTTGGATTCACACAGACTTAATCTGATCATACTCTCTTTATGAAAAAGAGAGAAGCACTTGTGTCAGTACTGATTGTGTATGTGGATGATATAGTTGTTATAGGGAATGATCTAAGGGAGATTGATGCACTCAAGAAGCCACTACAACAAGAGTTTGAGATCAAGAATCTAGGTGAACTAAAATATTTTCTGGGGATTGAGGTTGCAAGATCTAAGCATGGGATATTCATCTCTCAAAGGAAGTACGTGTTGGACTTATTGCAGGAAACTAGGAAGCTAGGAACTAAACCAGCGGATACTCCTATTGACCCAAACCATAGGATTAATCTTTGGATGATGAGTTGGTTAAAAATGTGGGGAGATATTAGAGGATTGTAGGCTAACTATTATATTTATGTATGACACGCCTAGACATTTGCTATGTTGTTAGTGTTGTGAGCCAGTACATGCATGCTCTTCGGGTTCAGCACTAGGAAGCCATTGATAGGATACTTGCATACCTGAAGAAGCATCCTGGCAGAGGGATTCTATTCTCAGACCATGGGAATTTAAAACTGGAGTCTTATATAGATGCAAATTGGGCAAGTTGTCTAGATGACAGGAAATCAACATCAAGGGTATGCACCTTTGTGGGAGGAAATTTGCTTTCATGGAAGAGTAAAAAACAATTAGTGATGGCTAGGTCAAGTATAGATACCAAATATAGATCTATGGCCCATGGTGTTTCAAATCTACTTTGGGTTAGATCCTTGTTGAGTGATATTGGGATAAGAGCTGAGGAGCCCATGATATTATATTGTGACAACCAAGCTGCAATCAATATTGCCCACAATCCAGATCAACATGATAGGATAAGGCACATTGAGGTTTCAAGACACTTCATAAGACAGAGGGTGACAACCGGAGAAGTTTGCCTTTCTTATGTCTCCTCTGAATTACAATTAGCTGATGTCTTCACCAAAGGGGTTGCAAAAAACAATCTTAAACATGACCTACGCAAGTTGGGAATGTGTGACATTTACTTCCAACTTGAGAGGGAGTGTTGAGGTTTTGGGGCAGATTTGTGCAGATTGAGTGGTTCTTTTAAGTTATTTATGTAGTTTTGTGTTAGTCGCCCTATAAGGGCATATTAGTCATTGTACCCTTTTTTAATTAAATGTATAAATACTAGTGAGGAGGGCAGCCAGAACTGATTTGCTCTCTCTTTCTCAATCTTTTCTCTTCTCTTTCCCTTCTTCCTCAAGAAACATCTCTTTTCTTTACAGATTCTTTGATTCAGCAGTTTTCTACTTATATCATAAACAAAATTAATTAAAAAAGACTTTGATATCATATATCATGAAAAAAAATGAATTGACTATAACTTCTATGACACTTGAACCTATGTCTGTCTAGTAAGTATACAACATTTAAACCAATCTTGCTAAATGGATCAAATTCGGATCACCTTACAAAAGTTATTAAATGAAGAATATATTGAGAGTTCAAGCTTAATAGGGTAATTTCTCTAATAGTCTGATGGGATTAGAAATAACAGGTATTTTCACAGAATTAAGTCTCTAATAAGATGAAGAAAGGAAAGGTTTTAGGACCATATAGTATCGTACCGGAAGTTTGGATACGTAGAGCGGAGGTGACTTACAATAGCTGACCAAACTATTTAATAAGATAATGTGAACAATGTAAAAGCTTGATAAATGGAAGATTAGCATCATGATGCCTATATATTAGGAATGTGATAGAGTTGCATTAATTAAGAATATTTTTGTCAGTGTAAAGACTAGTGAGCATCATCTATGACAACAACGCTAATACCATACTGATATAGGACCCTAATCCTCAACTCATTTAGATTGATATGATTCAAGGATGGATTGATAAGAAATTTCAGGGAAAACTGAACAGGAAATGATGTTTTTGAGGGTTTAAGTCTCGAGGTTTGGTTTGTAAGTGAGAAGCAAATCTAGGGATGGCGGATAGAGGGTTTCTGAGCTAGGGGAAGACCAAAAGGTACATGGATTGAGGTAGTGAAACATGATTAGAAGCCTCATAGTCTGAACAAGGACATTTCCTTTGTTAAAATAAAATGGAGAAACATAATTGATGTAGCCAATAGATATCTACATTATATATATATATATGTGTGTGTGTGTGTGTGTTGTTTCATCTTGTGTTTTCCTGGTAAGAAGATATTTGATTAGAAAATCAAACTGAACTAAGGAAATGTGATATCATATGTTTGCCCCATAAAGTCATCATCTATATTCTTTTATGCTTTCTTAATATTCTATTGTTTCCACATCTGCATTTTTTCTGAACTTGCTTTTCATTTGACAATTCTTCAATTTGAAGCATTTGCATGAGCCAAATCGGTTCTTAACCTGAAGTGGACCATGGTTTAGCATGATACCAGATAAGGTGGTATATGTGCAGTTCTAAGTTCTAACACATGCACAATGTAATTGATATACAAGGTTCCAAAACGTGTACATGAAATTTTATCAATTATTTTTATAATTTGTTTTTAATTTATTTCAATGCTAAATATGAGACTGATATTTTACTCTAATGAAAGAAACTACACAATTAAATACCAATGTTGAAGAATTGCTAATCCAAATAAAAGTAGTTGGTGATGATCTAGCTTAAGTGTAAGCACAAGAAATGGGAGCAGAGAAATTTAGTCAATTAATTTGTAGTTAGTTTCTTCATTTATACCAAGTGTAAACTTAAGATTAATGTTTTGACAAGGGAGAAAAGAAAATAGAAATGGCCTCGTGAAAATTGACTTCACCCAATGTTGTAAGATTCATTTCACAAAACACAAAACCAGAAAGGCTACCAGATCATGGGTCAGATGATCCGACCTATGGGCAACCCACAATATCATATATTATGTATACATGTATATTGATATAATAATAAAATATAATATAATATGCATATTATAACATCTATTCAAGTTGTGGTTAGATGGTTTGTTTCTTGATTTTAATACAAGTGACTAGGGTTCAAGTCTTTTAACTCACATTTTTATTCAAATATATACATACATGATTGATGAATGGTAGTGTGTTACTTTACATAAGGAAGAGGTTATAGGTTCAAATATTGTTATCATCATTCTATGATTTATGATAAATCAGTGACCTGAGCAGGTTGTTGAAACCCAGACGGTTTTCAGTGGTATTCACGGGTTTCTGATGGGTCAGCCTGGTTTTCTCTATGGGGGTTGAGTGGCTATTAATTACATGGATTACAAAAGAGGCAAAAGAGTATATGATTGTTTGCATTATCTTATCTGTGCAATTTATTTAATATTTGCTGAGAAAAATGTGAATGTCTGAAAATCTGCATTTTTAGTACAAAAAGTTGATGTGTTATTCTTGTTTCTCATACTTGTTCAGGTCGTAGCATTTGTTTTGGAGGCATTTTTCACTGAAATGGAACTTGAAACAAGCAAACCCGAGGAAGAGGGCAAGGTTTGTACTCTACAATGATATTTATGCCTAATTCTAGGAAAATGTAGGTTTGTACTTTACAATGATATTTAATCATCCTTCTGTTTTCTTTTCTTTTTTTAATTCGGCGATCACTTCTCTAGTTTGACAGTGACGTGATTCACCACTGTTACCTTTTCAATGGTCTCCCTTCGTCGTCATTGACTAGATTATTGGTCCATTTCCTGTGTTAATTGTGTAATTTTAGGAAATGGTAAAATATTTACTTCTCTAAGTGAACTTAACAGGAAATGGGAGAAAGAAGTGGAAAGGAGAAAAAAATGCCTGGAGTGTTTAATAGTGCCAGTTCAAAATATTTAGAATTACAAGTATTATCTTTCTGTTTGAAATCAATGTTTCATGATTCTGTCTTGTTTGTTAGAGGAAAGTGCTTTTTATCTTTTACACCTGAGGGGAATTTTTTGTTACAGTAATAGTTGTTTTTGAATAAATCACCACAATTATCATTGACTAGATTATGGAATGTACCATTCCAGTTCCTGTGATGTGTAATAGTATAGATCACCACCATTATCATTTCTAATCCTATCTACATAGTCATATTTAAAGTGAATTTTTTTCATGTTCCAGGAAGCGGGGAGGCAGGATCTACGGCGGTCTGTTGGGTGTGTAGCACCATTATGAGCTCATCATTTGGAGATGATCTGTGATTTGCTTCTATGTAGCCACACTGTAGACTAACATTTTCTTTTTCTTTTGCATACTGTATGTCATGCAGCTCAAAAACACGAAGCCAAAGAGTTGATGTCCTTCTTCATCATATGTTGAGTGCAGAGCTGAATGAAACACAGATTTCCAATGCATAGATCTCTGTCATTCTTGATTGCTGGTAACTGACTGCTTACAACCCTCTGTTTCATTTTCATTTCCATTGTTAGAAGATTTGGTGGTTTAATTCGTATAGAATAAAAATTTCCATTAATCAATTTTGAGCAAGTATGCCCTTTATTAATGTGTCCGCTTCTGATAGCAGTTGAGTTTATCCACCAAATCAGGTTGATTTCATGTCTGTCCTAATTTGTGATCTAGCCACGTGCTTTCTTCTCCATTAGTGTTTTCAGTAGTACATCTTTATTAGACTTACAATATGGTTTCTCCCTCTTGCTTTATGTTGTCTTTTGGTTAGTGCCTTTTCTTATGCCTCTTGTAGCTGTCAAATGAATGTATTGACCCCTGATCTTTTTTCTTTTTTCTTCCTTCTATTGGCTTCCTATATTTGTTGACAAGCTGTGCTTCTTATCTATCTGCAGAGCTACAGGTTTTCCCTGTCCTGTGATCATACAACCAGTTGGTTACCATAAAATGGATGGAAAAGATAATCTTGAGTTGGAGGTCTATTCCCTTGAACATCAGGTGTACTGAGTATACCTAAGATGTGTCTTTGTTGCATTGTAATATCTCCATGTATCATGCAAAGTTTTCTTTTTTCTTTGTTTTTGTTTCTTTCTTTTCTGATAATTCCATCATGCAATGTAGTTTAATAAAAATAAACAAGCTGTAAACCTCTATTGTATTCAGAGCAGGTTTTCTCTGTAATGTAAGAAACATTACAAAACCAACTAACATGAACTTAATCCTTGGTTTCCATCTTTTAGTAGTGTGATGAATACATAGGTAGAACATGTCCGAGATGGATGCATAATTTTCACCTGCAGTGGTAACAGTGTGATAAATATAAAATACTGGACTAGAATGATTACAGCTTTCTCGTTCCTTTTGCAGTTTGATGGGTTATTCATGTTCATTATCTTTTACCCAAGATGAATTGTTGTATGAAAACAACATTATAGGTAAGGCATTTCCCTAGCTAAGATCGAATTACATCTCACTGGTCTATAGGGAGCATCTGTCCACCCAAATGCTTGGAGTGTTTTTCCTACTAGCTCTTTGTTAACTGTCTGAAATTACGCCAACTTCATAATACAGAATTGAAAAATCCAGGACGAGATAAAGTGGTTTGCTTCTCTGCTTTATGCGATGTAATTACTCATAAATTTGGAATATTCTGGTCTAACCAATCCCAAATGGCTAAATGGCAAATTGCTCTGGAATATCCAACAAGTGGATTTTACTGTGAACTAAAATTTCATGTCTTTGTATGCCACTTGAATCCATAATACAACAGAGTGCCCATTGATATATGTAAGGGAATCCTGTTTCGTGTTAATTACTGTTCTTGGGGTTATGTTCTGTTGATAAATAAAAGAAGAAAAGAAGATTTGAAGGGAGGAGCATCTACTTTAAGGTGATACGATTGAATTGAAGTGAATTGAACCTGTTTCTCTTCTGTTATTTCCAGCAGGAGATGCAAACTTTTAAATGCAAATATGCAATAAATAAATAGAGAGAACCTCGCCTCATGCTTCACCGCCCCTTGGCCGTTGGAAGTTGAGGAATCCATCGCTGTGGATCGTATTGAGAGAGAGAGAGAGAGAGAGCACCCACTTGGTTGAATCTTATTTAACTATTTAAGTGGACTTTAACTGTTTATGGTAAAGCAATTAGCACGTGGAGAGCTTCTTTTAGTCCGTTCCTCTTATATAAACTCCTATATACTACCCACATTATCAACACACACACACACAGATGGAGAGCATGAAAGGAGAAGTGGTGCTCAACATCCCCGCCCAGAAGGCATGGGAAATGTACAGAGACGATGAGATCATCAGCAAGATAAACCCAAATATGCTTGCCCGGGCTGAATACATCGAGGGAGATGGCAGCCCTGGGAGCTTGAGGGTCTTCAAGCTTGGCCCTGGTAAGAACTCTCTCTCTCTCTCTCTCTCCATGAAAGAAGGTGATATTGAATTAATTTATGCAGCTGTGCAAGGTTATGTGAGAGAATCCACTGAGAAGATTGAGAAGGTGGAGGCAGGGCGGTCCATAACTTACAGCGTGATTGGAGGAGAGCTAAGGAACATGTATGATCCTTACAAGGCCACCTTCTCATTTATCCCTCTACGCGGACAAGAAGGAGAGAAGTGTATCGCCGAGTGGAAGGCCGAATTCAAGCCGCTCTCTCCGTCCATACCTCCACCGGAGAAAGCCAAGGATGCTGCACTGGGATTCCTCAAGCACTTCGACAAATTCCAGCTGTGCCGCTGAATACAAGTTTGGCATGCCACAGAGGGGATTATGTTCTCCAGTAGTCATCAGAAAGAGTCCGAATATATTCTGCATGCATATGTGCCAAAAAAATTTAATAAAAATTGCATGCTTGCAGCACATGCTTAATCCATATCAATAAATGAAGTTGGGGATTAACTAGTTCAGTGTGTTCTATTTCGATGTTCTCATGTTTTGCAAATTTAGGCTACGTTTGGTTTGGTAGAAAGTAAGAGAAAATAGAAATTTGAAGATTTTTTTGGTAAATTACCAAGACCCTCCTTGTACTATGGCTCAGTGACAAATATCCCCTCAATTTTTTTCTTTTGCGATAAAGACCCCTTAAACTTTTATATTGGGACAAATACCCCTTCGGCTGTTAAGTCAAATGACGAAAAACGTTAAATTACCAAAATACCCTATTAAACTTTCTCTATTTTCTTTTCTTATTTTGCCATTTTCTTTTAAAACTCTCCAACCTTGAGTTCCACCTACAGTGCGTTGATCATGTATTTGAGAAAACCATCAATTTTCGTTGCTAAAGCATCTATTACTAAATCTGAACCGTCGAAAGCAAATGGCGGAGGTGAAGGTGGAGATGCAGAAGAACAGTACAGGGAGTATGAGGTAGAACTCGAGCAGCCATATGGGTTGAAGTTTGCAAAAGGTTGGGACGGTGGAACTGGGATGTTCCACTGTCGGGGACAAAATACTTGCTACCAGGTATTATTTGCTTGTGAATTGCATTTCCGACCAAAATAATCATGATTTTCCTTTTTTTTTATTCTTTATAAAATTTGGACAGATTCCGCAATTAGCTTGTTACTTTTAGTGAATTGGGTTGGTCCAAAGGGGTTTATTCAAATATATTAATGGATTTGTTGACTTTGCAAGTCTAGAATAGATAAGCTAGCAGAGCGGTTTATAAGCAGGTCTTCACTAACTTTGTAGTTTGTACCGAATAATGGGCCTAGACAATCTATAATGCTTAATGTTGGAGATCTGCTACTTGTTATAAGCTTTGTTATTTTTGCATTTGCAGTTTTTGTTTTGAAGTCATTCGCAATTCTTCAAATCACATTTCATGGACATGATCTTTATACACACCTTAGTACATCAGCTGTATGCCTTGATGGAAATTCACCTCCAAACACAGAAAGCCTCTGACCTTTGGTAACATCCCACAAAACACACGTTTGATCTCCAGAATTGGTTATTAGGTGAGTATCTTCATCTGGAACATATTGACATGAAGATACATAACCCTTATGCCCGCTTAACATCCTTGATACTGGTAAATTCCCATCCTTGTCAATTGAAGAGTTCAGATCGAAGATAGAGAAGGCACTATCAACACCACCACATGCAACAAATTGACCATTTGGAGAAAAGGCACATGTCATGACCCATGCACATTGTAGCTTAATAGCATGAGTTTTCTGGCTTGTTAGAGCATTCCACACAATTAACCACCCATCTTGAAATGCAATGACAATTCAATTCTTTTCAGGAGTCCAGCCCAATGAATAAACTTGGCAGATTTCTTAGAAAAATTATTAATTTGAGGTGGTGATGGGTGAGGTGGTGAAAACCAGCAGCGATGGGTGAGGTGGTGATGATGACCAACTGACCCATCACTTTCGAGTAGTCAATTTGGGCTCTCAGGGCCTCCGGTGATTTGGGGGCAATGGTGCCTCTTGTGATGAATAATATCTTGTGGTCTGGGTTAGCTTAGCCAGAAATTAGTCTTACTATCGAATGGAGAGTCTGTCATGGTACGAAGGAACACAGATGAATAGTTCAAAGTATATAAAAAGTTGAGTGATTTAATAAATTAAAGAAAATGGTAGTTTGGGCATTTAAAAATTTTAAAATAGTTAGACAATAATCTTTTTCAAAGTTAACTGACAGAATGCTAACGGAAAGAGTCTTTGTCTAACGACTAAAGTTCAAGGGGATCTTTATCACAAAGAAAAGTACAGGGGGGTCTTTGTCACTGACCTCATAGTACATGGGGCCCTTGCCATTTACCCTTTTTTTTACAACTTCAGTGAAATTCTTTCTGTACTTTTTCTCAACTTTTTGTTTCTCTTAGGCTCCGTTTGGTTTGTGGGAAGATTTGGATGGGATGAAAAAAGATGGGATGGGAAAGTGTAAAAATTTAACTTTCCATTATTTGGTTTTATATGGGAAAATAATAGGAAAATTATCATCACAAAACAGAGTTCTACTTTCTTCTCTGTTTTGGTGTGATCCTAAATGCAAAGATGGTGGAGAGTGAAGGGAACTATCGTAACCGTAATTATCCTTGTTCTTCTGCTTTTTCTTCCTTTGATGGTATAGCGAGGCCAATGTAGTTGCTATGTCTTTCACTCCATTGCTTCCCCTCTTTTCGCTTTTGCTACTCTTCTGTTCCGATTGTTGTGATTCCCGTCGTGGTGGGGGTAGAGGAGGCAGCGGCGGTAGTGTTTGAGCCTGTGGTTGTGGTGAATGGATTTTCATGACTTCTGGTACACTATCATTGAGCTCTGTCATCACTCTCGGAAACCCATGAGGATTCTAGCCTAAGATCCGGGTAGGAGCTGCTGCTCCTCCTCAAGGATGGATGTGGGGTTGAGGATGGATGTGATTTGTCGGCCACCTGGGAGGTGTTGCTGTTGGCAACATTGGTATATTCATCATCAGTGCTGCCAGAGGACTCATAGTTCCTCCTGCCGAGAATCCCACAAAAGGGAAGGAATGACAAAGAGCAAGAGAAAGAGAGCGGCGAGAGGCAATACGATGATCAGAACGACAGGGTTAAGAAAGAAAGGAGAAGAAGAACCATGGTGGCTACGATTGATTGTAGTACTAGTTTGTAGCCAAAAGGGTGGTGTGTCTGCATCTCCTTCCATGATTTGAGGTTGGTTTTTTCTCTTTTTTTTTCTTGCTTTTGGTTTTGCTTTTAATGAGAGAGAGAGAAGGGAGATAGGCATACAAAAGCAAAGACACATAGAGAGATAGAATAGAGAAGAAAGGAGAGATAAAGAGAGGAGTCGGGGTCACAGCAGTGGTGGGGCAGAGGATGAAGATGAAGAAACTTGAGTTTTCTCAAGTTTTTCCACCAGGATCGCATCATTTTGGTGAGACCCCGATTGCACAATTTTGGAATCTCGCATCCCACTTTTTTCTCATCCCATCCCCCTATTTCCCTTAAAACAAATGAGAGAAAAAGCCATTTTTCTCATCCCCATCCCACAAGTCAAACGGAGCCTTGTATTCTATTAAACCAAACAGTCTTATAAGAGGGATCATGATCACTGAATTTTATGAACTAGTATAAGGGGCACAAAGTAAGTGCTTGTGCAAATATAAAGATGAAAAGGTAAAATCTAAAGTTACTTAAATTTAAGTTTTAGAGTAAAATACAAAAACCTCCCATGTAGCTTCTTGTGATAATCATAAAAATCTCTCCTGTAATTTCATTTTAACAAAAACCTCTCTTGAACTTTTAAAAAATTCAACGGAAACCTCCTTTTTGTCACTGACCCAGATGAAAAATGTTTAACCGATCTATAAATTTTTTCCAAATACCCATTTTACCTTTTTATAAAATAGGAATTATTGTTGATCAAACAGTGAATAAAAGTAAAAAAAAAAAAAGAAATCTAATGTTTAATTGCTCATCTGATGTGGTTCAACAGCCAGGCGAATGGGTTGTTGATGGTTCAACAGCCAGGTTAGTAGGTTGTTGTGTGTCAATATTTTTTTACAAAGTGTTGTTTGGGGTGAAACAACCTGAAAATCTGCCCAGATAAGCGACTGACTGATTCCACTGGTCGGTTCAACCACAGGTTGAAAACATCACTTTCAGCATTAACGCCCTTCTAATATGTCCAAAAGATGCATTTTATTTTATTATTGGCAATATGTAAACTGAAAATTGAAAGGTTTGGATGGATAATACTCACTTAACTGATACTTGTAAAAAGAAAAAAAACTGATACTGGGGGGAGGGGTAAACATTTGGTTGATCCAAATCTTAGGCAGTGTTTGGGTGGATAAAATTACCAAATTCTTTATGTGCTTTCTCAACTTTCTATTTCTCTCTTCTTTTTCTATCAAACAAAATATAGTTTTTTTTTTTTTTTAATCCAGTGAAGAGTTTTAATCGATCATATGAATATATAATCGTCCACCTGACAAATATATTATAGGTCATATATGGAGAACCCTACTTGACCTAAAATGGACACCATATTCACTCACTTTAAATTCCAATGATATTTTCAGCTTCTACACAAGCTAGTTTTTTGTCCATGGTGTAAGGTACGTATAGGACCCTTTAAGCCATTAAATAGGAGTTGTCATGAGATTGGAATCCACCATATATGAGATGTATAGTGTCAGATCATATTGGGAGGGTGTTGGAAAGTATTTTGTTGGCAAATGATGATCTGAATTCACTAAATAGATAGACCTTAGGAAAATAGAGAGCATTAAATATGAATGAAAGGAAAAAAGGAAAACAAAAAGTATAGAATTTGTCAAACTTGTTACACTATTAGAAGAATATTAATAGTTCTGGATTTTCAGGCATCTCATCTCTTTCGTGGTCACATGGTAAATAATTCAGGCTGCATCATGACCAGCTAACCATACTTGACTTACACATACACGTCACACCCATAAGTTCAAATCGCCTATAGCTCTATGCCTGATATTAGGCCAATCATGATATACTACATTAGCTCCTAACATATGGGGCCTATGTATTAGAGGTTTTGAAGTACTGACTTGTTTTATTTAACTTATTTGCAAGTACAATTGCCTCCCATGAAAATGCTTGGATGGATGAGTGGTAAAATTAGAAACAATAAGGTTAGAAATGAATATAGGAAGGAATCTTCAAATAGCTAAAGAGAAAGTAAATTAAAATGGTTTGGTCATATGCATTGAAGACCATCTATAGCATCTATTAGGAAAAGTAATCTATTGCAGGTTAATTAGAGGGGTTAGAAGAGCTAGGGACATACCAAAAAAGAGTTGGTTGGAAGTAATATAGGAAGTAGTTGAAGCCTTCATAACTTAACGATGAATACAAAACTAAACATAACGGAATGGAAAAACAAGATTATATATATATATATATATATATAGGGTAGCAGTGATAGCTAAATTGGGCTTG